CTATCCTTTGGGTAGATACCCAGGAGTGGAATTGCTGGTAATTCTATTTGTAGGTCTTTGAGGAACCTCCATATTGTTCTCCACAGTGGCTGTACTAATTTACATTCCCAACAACAGTGTAGGAGAGTTACCTTTTACCACAGCCTCTCTAGCACTTAACATTCTTAATTTTAAAAATCTTAACCAGTCTTTGACTGGACTGATATGTAGTGTATTTATGATGAGAAAATTCATTTTGTATACTATAATGATACACCGTGATTAAATGTATAAAAAATAAAAATAAATTATGACAATCCATCCTTTTGAGGCAAAATATTTGGAGTAATTAGAATCTGGCTAAGTGTTCCACAGTCATGGACACTGACCCTCAGAATCTTTTCCTTTGGATATTTGAAAGCAGATTAGATTTGGGTTAGTGACTGCTTTTCCAACTTCGGTATCTTGTACATCTGCTTAAAAAAATTCTTTTGACAGTTTACAGATAATTTTGTTCTTATGGTCTCTACTGTGACATGGTCAGTGATATTGTCACCAAGGTAAGTGCTTCTAGAGCTCTACTTCAAAGAGGTTGGACCAACCTCCTAGGCAGCATTTTAATTAAAGCTCTTCAGCCTTGAGGCAAGCAGGAGCTCAGATTTGAAGCCAGAGAGTGACTGGTATTCTTCTCTATTAGGGATTGTTGACTACAGCCCAGACCAGTCAGAACCTGGGGGACAGACCTGCCTCACTTTGTTCATGTCTAACTGCTACCTAACACAGCATCCCAAAGTACCCTACAACCAGATCACCCCAGAGGACTGACAGATACAACAGATGCAAATGTATACTGGGTGCACTTACCTCCTTATTCCAAGACTCTGTCTCAATCTGTGTTTGAATTAGCTAAAGGGCAAAAGCTACAAATACAAAAGTGAAATCTTTGTCTTCCTTGGGAGAAAACAAACAAAACACCACCACTACAACAACAAAAGTGAGATCTGGCATCTGAGAAGCCTGGGCTTACCTTCGGGCTCTAAGGGACACAGAGATTAGATTGGACATCAGGAGAAGATGGTTAGGGCCTCTGGCAGAGAGTCCAGGAGGATGGTGCCTTCAGTCAGTCAGTGTTCTCAAGTCAGGTGCCCTGAGGACACCTCACCCTTAGAGTGGATTTTAAGGTCTGATGTAAATTAACTAGAAGAAAGTGAATTGCTCTTCACTTAAAGGAATCCATTGTCAGAGAAAACACAGAGTGCCTGGGGAAACAGAGATGGATGTGTTAGGAATGTCATACTAATGAGGTTTGGGCAATGGAGCGCCATCCCATCAGAGTTAAGCAGAGAGCCAACTTGCAGGCACAGTAGTAAGGTACTGCGCAGGGCAAGATGGATCTATGTGAAAGGTGATGGTTCCTGTCCCAGGGTCTACCTGAATATGCTGAGCACACCCTCTTGTGATCCTGGCTGGCTAGGAAGGCAGAGGTGATTGCAATGGGAGATTCTATTAAGGTGCTTATCTCTTCTCTCTATCTTACTCTCATTAAAAAAAGAAAAAGAAAAAGAAACTTAAAAAAGAAAGTAAAAGCCCTAAGTAGAAAAATGACCTCAAATTTCTGAGAAAACCACCTAGCTTCTATGAACTAATTTCCCTATCTTAAGCAGATAAAATAATACTGTATTTGTTCCCTAGGGCCACAAATAGGGTGACTTAAAAGAAGAGTGTTATCTCACAGTTCTGAAAGCTGGAAGTCTGAAACTGAGGCTTTAAGGAAAAATCCTTCTTTGGTTCCTTGCAGCTCCTAGTGGCTGTGGAAAATCACTGGAATTCCTGGCCTGTAGATAAATTGATCTGATTTCTGCCTTCAATTTTGCATAGGTACCTTTCTTCTGCAGGTCTCAGTCTCCAAATTTCTCTATTTTTTAATCAAGACAACAAGTTAGTAGATTTAGGGCCACTCTAATCCAGTATGACTTCATCTTCATTTGATTATATCTGCAAAGACCCTGTCACCAGACCCTGCCTCCAAATAAGATCACCCTGTCTCCAAATATCCTCAACAAATCTTTCTCGGAGATGGAATTCACTCGATAAGTTTCTACCTTGAAAAGTGATAGTGAGGAAACATTTTGCTGCTGTTGCATTTGTTTAATGCTAATATCATTTACTTATTCTTTTTGGCTAAGCATAGCTGTGCCTTAATTATCTTGACACTTAAAGTTTCATTGACTAGGAATGAACTTCATCTTAGAACCAGGTGTACCTCTAGTTTCTACCTTTGCCAAAGACTTTAAAAAGAAATGACGACATTCCAGGTGGATTAGGTTATAGTACCAGATGATATTTCAGTTTTCAGTCACTTGAGAATTTGCAAAGTAAAACAGTGTTAACTCCTAGGTAAAATGAGAGAGATGGGACCAGCAGATGGCATAATGACTGCGTTACTGGACTCCCATGTAATTGACTGCAGTTTGAGTCCCGGACAAGGTGGCTTAAACTCACACTGGGAGCATGTACATGCATGCTCAAGATCCCAAGAGGAGAATGGAGAAGGGATTGCGGTGTGGCCATCCCTCCTGAGGGGTGATTTCTCGCTTTCTGTCTCTGTCTCTCTCTGTCTCTCTCTGTCTCTCTGGTGAGCACATGTGCCCTATAGCAAAAACCTCTCAAAAAGAGAGAGAGAGAGAGAGAGAGAGAAAATTGGTAAGAATACATATTACGTATTCATTCACAGAGGGTTACATGCCTGGTGAAAGACTGGGACCTGACTTTCCGAAGGAATACTCCAGAGAGTATGTTCTTCAGCCCAAAGTGTAGATAATACAATAAGAAATAAAAATGATTTTCCAGCATTTTCCAAAAATATTGTCCATTTTGATAGCTATCTGGCATCCCAGAGACATGTGAGTGGAGAACCATGCTGATGTCATCGTGCACATTTGGTTGCAATAGCAGAGCTGCCTCTGACTCTGTTGAAGGCAGAAAGACCTTACTGTTGGCGGCCCTATTGCCAGAGCCTGTGGTGTGAGAGAAGAGAGTGAAGTCAGTTTCTGTTCCCAAAAGCCCGGTAGGTTATATGCAATAGTAAGATCTGCTTTATGTCTTCGTAGACCTTCTGTTATGTCCTTAATTTAGTGTTGATTGTACTATGCACAGCTGGCAAGAAAAGCGAATAGGTCTCTGCAAGAACCTATTTAATATGCTATGGGACAACATATTGAGGGCATGCAGGTGTCTTCTTCTCAACCCTTGACCCCAATTATGCAAGCAAATATTGCTGGAAAAATATGACCACATACTCAGGAAGAAAGACCTGGGCTCAATGTGTTTTTTATTTCTGGCTTTCTTTGTTCTACATATTTATATCAATTTCCCTCTTAGTAAAAATGAAAGAAAACCCTTCAGTGTGTCTCAGAGTAAGTTTCTCTGGATCATTCCAAATCAGTGAAAGAATAAAGATCAATGAGAATATGACTTGTAAAGGTCAACTTATTAGAGGATGTTCAAACTTGATGTCAGCACATCACCTGTGAAGGCTTGGCATTTCACTCATAACCACTGAAGGCACACGTTCACAGCATTGCTTTTCTTTCCACTATGATTAACACAATTAAGTAATTAATTTTTTCTTTTCTTTATTACACAAGGTCTTGCCATGTTTGTCAGACTCCTGCCTCAGCCACACAGCTGGGGCTATAGGTGTGTGTCACCATTCCCAGCTCTTTTTCATAGTGTCTCCCTATATTGCCTAGGCCAGCCTCAAGCTCACACCCCCATTCCCCTCGCTTAAGGAGCCAGTAGGATTACAGACACACACCTATGTGCCTGGCCTTTAGGTTGGATCAGGAAATGAACCCAACCTCCCCAATGGTCCCAGCCTGCAGAGCATGACATCTTAGCAGCATGCACCACAATGGCCAGACCTAAATTCTGTTTTTATAAAACTCTTTTAACACTTTATTGTTTTCCCCAACTGTAACAAGTCTTTAAACCTAAGAGAAATGAAAGACAGGGAATCTAAGGAATAGAACTATTTTCTGTCGAGGAACATCAATTCTCTGTATAGATGATAGAAAGTATAGTTAAAGACTCAACTCATTCTTCCTTTCAGTAGCTTTGGGATGGCTTTAAAATTAGATAGAAAGGAATTTTTGAAAAGAAAACAAAAATCCACTTGAGCACAATTTTCTTGCTAAATAGGAAAGAAAATTATGACTAAAAGAACATAGGATTGTTTTCCCTTGTAGCCATCTAAGAAAGTAATAGGGAAGTTCAATTGTGGATGAGATGTGTTTTATGACTTCCAGCCTAGGTATGATGATTCTTTGGCACCTGCACTACAGAACACTCCAAGTTTTACCATACCCTTTTCTGGGCTGGGAGCACATCTGAAGGAAAATTTCTCCTCCTCTAACACAGATTCCAAGATGTTTTAGTTGTAGATTTGTGGAACTAAACAGCTCAATTCTGCCTTTGACTCAGGAAAATCGGAGGGCCCGCTCCACGTGCGCCTCTCTCTTCTCTAAGCAAGTATCCCTGGTTCTTCCTCTAGCTGCCACTGGGAAGAGGAAACAAACATGCATCACCCTCATACTCTAGTCCCCTCACTCAGTATTGTGAAGAACAAAAGGGAGGGGCCAGCAGATGACCTCATGGTTACTTCGCTGGACTCCCTGTACCACTGACCACGGTTAAAGTCCCGGATCCGCAGGCTTGAAATTCACGTCCCGGCATATGTGCATGCATGCCCAAGATCCCAGTAGGAGAATGGAGACAGGATTGTGGCGTGGCCATTCCCCCTGGGGGGTGATTCCTCACTTTCCCTTTCATTGTCTCTGTTGGTCTCTCTCTCCAGGGAGCGCACATGCCCTAAGGCAAAAACCACGAAAAACAGACAGACAAATGGAACAGAAGAAGTGACAGGTCAAAGCAAGTGTGGGTCTGCTACCCGTGTCATTCATCCTCAAAGCAGACATGGGTCTCTTACTCGTGTCATTCATCCTCAACTTCTCTTTCCACAGATGGTCGGCTGTGACTATGAGCTGGATTCCAATGCCACAGAGGATCGTTGTGGCGTGTGCCTGGGAGATGGCTCTGCTTGCCAGACTGTGAGGAAGATGTTTAAACAGAAAGAAGGATCTGGTAATAAACAACAAATAAATAAAGTGGCAGGAGACTGAGAATAGGGGGTGAGATAATGGGTGATTAATTCCTAGATTTTTTTTAAGCAGTTTGTGACATTCAAATAATTCAAAATGAAATATAGCCATCCTTACAAAGGGGTAAGGGCTCTTGGCAGTTTTAGGAAAGGGGTTGATTGTGAATACAGGAGGCACCATGCAGACAGAGAGTTCTGAAATGGCTTGGTAGCTGCTCAGGGGAGCAAGTATAAGAATATAGTCCCTGAGAGAGGATCCCTCTTAGGAACAGGATTCACAAGAGGATCTAGGGCTAAATGCTGATGGTGTTGGAACAGACCAAGAATAAAGGGGATCAAAAGATGTTTGAGGGGACCAGCAGTTAGCGTAATGGCTATGTCACTGGACTCCCACGTAGTCGACCGCGGTTTGCATCCTGGACCCGGTGGCTTAAAACTCACACCGGGCACGTGTGTGTGCGTGCCCAAGATCCCGAGAGGAGAACGGAGGAGAAGGGATGGTGGTGTGGCCATCCCCCCTGGGGGGTGATTTCTCACTTTCTGACTCTCTGTCTCTCTCCGTCTGTCTGGTGAGTGCACGTGCCCTGTAGCAAAACCCTCTCCAAAAAAAAAAGATGGTTGAGAAAGATGCAGATCCATGGGCAGGCTCTGCAAACGAGGGCAGAGAAGCCAGCAATAGGTTTCAAGGCTGAGATACAGATTTGTTTACTTGAATTATAAAGTCACACTTAAAATGTTATTTATGCATATAACTTGTTTTATTTCTTTAACTGAGATTCCCTGTTTTTGGTTTCTGATATGTTGTGCTCCTTACACTGTGATAACTCCTTTGAGAACCAGAGTCATCTCCACACCTCTTCCATGTAATCTTTTAATTGCTTAGCAAATTGGACTTCAGTTCTGGGTTTTCATCTCTACTCTGGTCTGTTGGGGTTGAGAAAAAGAGACCAGAAGTGCCTTCAGCCCCCTGACCACTCCCACATGTACCTTCAAAATCTCAGTATCTATGGCCATGTGCCCACCAGTGGCCATTTGACACCTCCCTTCCCTTTGTGATTTCAGTTCTCCTTCTCCCACTTGCTATGTAGAAGACTTCAGATGGCTCTTGGCACCCAGGGGATGGTATTAGCTGTAACTTGTCATGTTCTGACAAGTTCTGCAAAGCTCTCTGACATGGCCACCCCTCTGTTCTCTCTGCTCAACAGCTCCCAGTAAAGTGGTCTGTGTTCGTCATACCCACCAGACACTGTCCACATCCCATGTTGCTTTGTGCTTATTAATAAAACTAGGAGCGCCAGAAAGACCCTGACTACCATCACCTCACCATGCAAATGAGGCCAAGAAGTCATGTAAAAAATTAATTAAATGAAGCCAGATTACACTAGGCTAGTTGATTAACGTAAAGACCAAAGTCAAAGGGGAATTTAACTTCCTTCTTGAAGACACCCAATATATATTCACTATACTTAATTTACATACTAACTTCTATTGCTGCCTTATTTCATCTTATTTTATTCTTTGTTCTCTAATGCAATTATAAAACAAGGACAAAATTATTTTCTAGGTTTTGTCTCCTCCTTCCCCAACTCCAAACATATTCTATATATATAGCGAGTAGTCAATAAGCGGTCATAAATTTAGTGAAAAAAGTTTTTCCTAAGATTGACTTCCTCTTACTTTGATAATAAAAGAGACCAAATCATTAACTGTTCTACAGTTATATTGAGGAGATACTTTTCTCCTTGATGTTCTGCCTATGGTTTAGTTACTGTATCATGACTCTTTTGTAACATGAATTACCCTTTTGGGTTTTGGTCATTTCCTGATTCTGGCCCAAAGTCATAAATTGTTATCCTTCTCGTTGTAATGCATGTCCTAAAATATTCTTTTATTCTCATCCCTCCACCCAGAACTGGTTTCTGTAGTAGGTAGCATGAATTGACTCAGAAAATTCATGTTGTAACTTTATCTCCTTGGTCAAGAGCATACAGTTTCCCTCAGGGGTCCATGGTGGGTCCTTATGAAGGATTCCTCAAACAAATGCTTTTTAGCCACGTGGGCTATGTGATTGCTTGGAGAGGGCTTCGTTATACCAGTGCTTATGCTTCAAATTCCAGAGCTTTATTGTCTCTGTTTTTAACTACGACCATGAAAGAACTCAGTCTCTTTTCTGAGAAAAGTGAGCAACTATCAAGTAGTGCCAAAAACTATGAGTGTGGGGAACAGGTGCAGACTAACACATCAGACAAAATGATCTCCATGACTAGGAAACAATGGGAATGTGTAGTCAGCCATCAAGAAGAATTCAGAAATCCTTCCAGCCTTCCATGGAGGGATGGATCCATGGCTTTTTTGTGTGTTGTTCTTTTCTCGTCATGCCTTACTTTGGTGTGTGGATCTTTATAAGAAGCATAAGTGAAAACATCTTTACTAGAGATGTCCACAGTAGTCAAACCAACTCCTCTTCCTCTTCTTATACAGAAGACTTGCTGTTGCTGCCTTTGGCAATGCAGGCATGAAATATTAGCGAAATATTAGCCAAATATATATATTTTTTATTTTTGGGGAGAGCTCCTAAAAAAAAGGCAAAATGACACAGAATTAAAATAGGCTAGAAGGCAAGAGACCAGGTCCTGGTTCTAATTAACCATTGACTTTGGGTAAATGATCCCTCTAGATCTGAATTTCTAGTGTAAAATATACATTGAATGAACCACAAAAGCTTCAGAATCCAATACATATTTATTTTCCCTCTCCTCACAAAACTGTTTACTCAACTGTTTGAGTAATGAAGATGCTGAGAACTCTGCTCCTGAATAGCTCTTTAAAAGTCCTCATAATTAGGGTCTGGGAAGTTTTTCAGTGATAAAATATTAAACTCTCCAAGGTTGACCCACATGGAAAGGTTCTGGGTTTGCTTCCTGGAGACCTTTCTGAGTATGCCAGGCATACTCATACCCATGGTCTGGACATGGCTGAAGCTGGAGATAGACTACAGCATTAAGACTCTGTTAGAGATGACTTCCTCTTTTACT